ACAAAAGCCATGTCATGTTCACAGAAGCATATACGCTTCATAGAAGTTTCAAGAAGAAGAGTCAAAACAGCTTTGCAGACATGTAATATATTACAATACTGTGGGAAGATGGTATTTAAAAGGCAACTTGATTTAATTTATTTCCTCTGAACTGACAAGATGTGCCATTTTCTAGGCTGTTTATAGGTTGGGAAAAAGATAATAGGACTTGCTGACTAGAAACAATTTACAAGTTTCCTGTGTCTCAAGTAAATACGGTACCAACATTTCCAGCATTTTATAACAAAATGCGCAAACCATATTGAAGCATGGGACTAGCTTATCTAATGGATCACCTCCTTTTGGATGAAGTTGTATGTCATCTGGCAAACTTGTAAAATTTCAATTATTAAAAAAAATGAGGGTGGGCCTGGGCTGTGAAAACTTTGCCTGAAGTACTTTAATTAATCAATATATAACCTTCACTTTCCCTGGATGGCACAGGTATTGTGACTGATGAAAAAGAATCACTATAGTGCAGTGATCAGGGGGTTGGATTAGGATCAGGGAGACCCAAATGCAAGTTCACTTTCAGCTGTGGAATCTGACTCGGGGATTTTGGGCCATCACTTTCTCTCACTCCAAACTACCATACAGGATTATTGTTGTGGGGAAAAAATGAAGGGAGATCCAAGTCCTATACAAAACCACATATAAATGTAACATGAATTTAACAGATAACAACAACACATTCTCACATTAACGTTTTGCATACCATGCATAATTTTCTACATCTCTATCACTTCCTCCTACTTACTGAACTACAAAACTCTAAACATAACCTTTCTTAATCCCAACAGCTCAAAACAAAATATTTCTTAGTTAGTCTGCTGTCCATTTCTGAATCTTAATCAGCTCTGCAATATCCGCTTTGAGATATGACGGCAGAAACTATGTATAGTATTCCCAAAATGGTTGGACCCAGAATGCTTGTACCATTTATAGAGAGATATGATGATACTGTTAATTTCTGAACAATTTACAACATGAAATTTATCTTTTTCATGGTAACCTTGAAGGGGTTACCATGGGTCAAGGTTTTGATTAAGACATCCCATTAAGGAGTAAAACACTGTCTTTTGTCTGTTCTCTTCAATCTTCCTCCTTGAATGTATTAGTTCACAATAAGTACCCTACATCTTCAGTTGTGAAGACATACACAAATAATTGGTTTCTTCAATATTCCTTTCTTCTTCCAAAACTCCTTTAACTTCAACAGACTGGTCACCAACAAAGGTAAATTCCTGCTTTGGTATATTTAATTTTTTTTTTTTTTTACTTAAATCCTTCTCTTTCCTGCTTCTCTTTCACACAGCTGTTTTTTGAGAAATGGTAATAACTGAGATGTTTTGATACTAGTAATTAATGTCTTCTGACTCCCATCAATCTAAACAACTGGATGGACAATGGAGTAACCCTGAAAGAGATCTAGACTAGAGCTTGGTACCATCTGTCCACTTTCATTTTTTTAGCTCCTTCTCCTAAAAAGACTGTTTATCATTACCATGTTCATTCTTTATTCTCTCTCTCTCTCTCATTCAGGAGCTACAACTTATCCCATAAAATGTATGACGCAGCTCATAACTGTATTGTCACTAGGTGGGGCCATGGATCTGGCTTGATTCATTACTTCCGTCTAACCTAGTCTTATTATTACTTATCATGCCTTTATTATTTTATTATATAATTTTATAAGTAACTCAAGGCAGTACCTAATACTCCTTCCTCCTATTTTCCCTACAACAACAACCCTGTGAGGTGAGTTGAGCTGAAAGAGAGTGACTGGCCAAAGTCACCCAGTCAGCTTTCATGCCTAACCATGTCCTGGTTTCTAGCCTTGTGCCTTAACCACTAGACCAAACTGGCTCTTATCTAGTCTTCTCTTTTCCCAATAAAAATGATCCAGAACTATGCCAGTTCTCCAATCTTTCTTTAATGAAATACAACATGACTCTGGCTTTTTCTCCTTAAGCCATACCCTTTTTGAACTAAAAAGACACATTGAGATTATAGCAATAACATCACAGCATGTAAGGTAATCCTCACTTAATGACCACAATTGGGACCGGAATTTAGGTCGCTAGGTGATGTGTTCGTTAAGCGAATCATCATGTGACTAGACCTGATTTTATGACCTTTTTTGGGGTGGTTCTTAAGTGAATTTCCCAAGGTCATTAAGTGAATCATGTCATTAAATGAATCATACAGTCATTAAGTGAATCACACAGTTCCCCAATGATTTTGCTTACTGGACGTTGGTTGGAACGGTCGCAAATGGCGATTACATGACCTTGGGATGCTGCAACTGTCATAACTTTGGACATCATAAGTCATTTTAGAGCCATTGTAACTTCAAACGGTCACTAAACAAACAGTCATTAAGTGAGGACTACGTGTATCCCCAAAACAGAGTTAGGATCTCAGTCTTACAAGTCTTTAGGGAATCCCACAAACGCAGGAAAAAAAATTAACATTAAGTTTACTTGATCCTTCTGTAACACAACGTTCTATCTCAAAGTTTCAGATGCTTATTCAGTGACATTCTCCCAAAAATAAGCCTGTAGGTGCAAGACAGTTCTTATTATCTGGCATAAAATTTCCTGCTTTCCCAGACTTCAATTGGACCATTTACAGCACAAATGCTTCTCTTTTCAATAGAAAGGACAAGAGGATTCCATTAAATTTATTTCAAAGCAAAGTATGTTTATATTCATAGCAGATATAATACATTATACCCTCAATACCCAAACTTGTTCTCATTACATCAAAACTGCTCTATCTAAAGTTATAACATTCTAAAATTTTTGTTTGGAAAATATTAGAATATGCTTTTGTGCCAGTACTGTGTTTCCTTAGAATTTCTATACTGTTTTGTTAAAAGGAACTCTAGCTGTAATTACAGACTGTAGCAGACAGATGTAATAAGAATGTAATGTGAGTTATTCAATGAAATGTTACATAAGAACCCCAAGCCTATGGAGTTTCTGATTTGTGATTTTTAAAATGAATGAAAGGCACACCTCCATTTATTTCTACTTCAGGTAACTTAATGGAGAAATGTATCTGTTTTAATGTTTTCTCATAGGAGAGAGTCTTTTTGATGTTTCACTGCATTGTTCCCACAAAAGAGGACATCTTGCAGGATTTAAAAAGACTCAGTTGAAACATGCAAATATTCTCTCCAGGGCCTGTAAAAAAAAAAATGCCTGAGGGCCTTTAAGTTGATTTATTCTTTAAAGAAAAGGATTTTGGAACTCTCCAAAGAAAACAAGAATATTGGTCCAAACAACATGCAATCACATAGAGGAGATGACTGTGTCCCTTGGTCCCAGCCACAATGTTAAGTTCCCCATTATTCATGCCTTAGTGACATTGTCTATAAAAAGAATTCTGCAATACATATGTAAGCTCACCTTGTTACTTGGAATGATGTGCAGTTATAGATGGGCAGGACTAATATAGAACATGATGTGTGTTTCTTTAGGGATATATCTATATGAACACGCGCACACACACAGAATAGTCAGTTTAAAGGAGGAAGACACAATTGACAGCAAGCCAACATTAGTGAAAGCAAGAAGTCAGTTCCACGTTTTAGACAACAGCTCTAAAAATATGGCACAAAATCCATTTGCTATATCTGGTGGAAAGACATGTTTAAGTCTGTGGAATGTGCTTGACCAAGAATGATATATGTGGAGTCCTTGGGGTTCTCTGAGCTTGGTTGTTTTCTTACAAACATTTCGTTACCCAGCTAGGAAACATCTTCAGTGCTAGAATGGAATAGTTCAACACTGAGCTGCACATATTCTCTTCTATTAATGATATATGTATGCACCTATAGACAAGCGATCGTTACCTTTATCAACGGAATACATTATTTTACAGGCACTCAATTTTAATAAGTAGCTATTAATTCACATATATGTATGTATGTATGTTCTGCCCTTGTGCCTATGTATATACACAATACATTGATGGAGAGGAAAAAAAATGTCAGCTGCAGTTGGGCCACCCAGGTTAAGAAGGTAGGGAAGAGAGGCATTGCATGTGTCTATAGTTGTTTTTTGGCCTATCTTCCTTTTTGTGGGAAAATGATTTAATTCAGTCTTCCCTTCAGGTAATTTGCTACATGCCTGAAGTTTTCCTTCCAAAGAAATATTTATTATATATTAAAGAAGACACACAAGACACACACAGAGACACATGTTATTTACTATTGAGGAAATAAAATAAAATAAGATAAAATTAAATTAAATTAAAATTAAATAAGCAAAAAGGTCTGTGTAGAATTTGGATTCAAATACATCCAGGAGAAAGTTGGAAAAAGAAAGAGCTTCTAGACCAGTTACATCAAGAAACATACCCATTAACCAATTTAGCCTGTTTTGAAAACTCTCTGGCAAATTCGACATCTTCTCATCTAACATCCACAACTAATATAATCTTAACCTCCTTCTGCTTCTCTTAAATATTTCCCTTACCAATTTTCTTAAAAGCAAGTAACTACAGAACAGAGATATCTTATAAATGGGTTTTACTTCTGAATAGGAAACATTTTTAAAGCAATTACCTGAAACTCTGAAAATGTTGTAGATGCTATTTTAATACACATATTAGTGCTTCTAATGTTTCCAACAGGTCAAAACTAGAATAACATAACCTCTGAATATTTGTCAACAAAAGAATTTGATCTCTTTTGAATGGCAAGAATCACACTGGATCTCCTTAAGGGACATATGCACAAAGTAATTTCCCCAGATGCATAAACAAAAAAATAAAAAGCAGTAGGCTGGATAGGAAAGGGGAGATTGCACAAATTCAGATTTCTAGAATGCAAACCCACCTCGCAGCCAAAGTCAGCACTACACATTAGAGTAAAGTAGCAGCACAAAATAGAAATATAGCCATTGAGGCTTTGGAGCTATTTTGGCATTTAGTAAAGATGATGAAATACTTACTACTGGAACTGGAGAGTTCTTTTGGACTGGATGCCATTGGTTGGGCACACATTTGACAGAGACAGTCTCTTCCATTAAAGGTAACCCGGTCTCCTGGTGGAAAAGGACGCCTGGGAAACAAAAGAAGCACTTCAATGCAAGTGTATCTCTGGGGTTTCATTATCTTTCTCAGCTCTTTTCTGTTGTTGCCACTGGTATAAATCAATATCTTGCAGGAAAAAGGGCCAAAGCATGTTGAAAATGCAGTACTGGCAAAGCTAGGCATTTGGAGAAAATCCAAACACTAAATGTACCTCCATAAGGAAAAAAAATGATGCTAGAAGAAATTGACCAATACATTTTTATTTCAGAAGGTTTGCTTGTTTAAAAAAGCCCGGGCCTTTATCAGCATTGTCATTAGGAAATGAAGCCTGCTTATTAGTGGTTTGAGTGCTCATGTGAAAATAAATATTTAGAAATTTCCGTTACTTTTTTTTCACAGAAAGTGTATGTTGATTAGATAGCTCATTTTTTTGGCAATCAATGTAAGCAACAAATCCCAGAATTTAAGCAGTTCTTGGTCTTCTGGACAATCAGAGAGCAGCATTGAGTATTGTATTCTACAAGAATGCGGCTACTGGACACTATACTGTGTGTTTCATTACTCAGAGCAAGCTGAGCTACATTTCTTTAGGAAAAGGATGAGTTGATTAAAACTAGATACCAAAGGAATGAACAAGTCCTGCAACTACCGTGAAAAAAATTAAACCAGAAATTCTGGCATGAGGCAGTTTCAGCCTTCAACAATAGCAGTAAAGATCCAGTTCTTCAGTCAGTAGACAACAGATAGGAATAGGAATATCTGCCTTATAACAAGTCAGACTAATGGTCCATCTAGCTGTCCATTACATCGATTGATTAGCTAAAGCTCTCCAGAGTTTCAAAGAACTTTTTTTCCAGTGCTATCCAGACTCTGTGGGAGGGGAAGGAGGACAATCCTCCTGGACACCCCATGGAGATGAGCTCCATTCAAAGTATATTTAAGTATGTGCAATTATCACACAAATAAATACATTTTCCAAGGCACTGATGTTTATGAGTGAAAATGTAATCCCAAAAGATACTTCAGTATTTTGATATTACAGATGCAGAGTGTAGCGAGAAGAAAGGGAGGACCAGAAATTAACATTCAGCCCCTAGAATTCTCAGAGTCTTAAAAGGCCTGACACCCTCGGCATTTCTAGAAAGTGCTCTAACACAGAGATATGGTCTTTCCTCTGAACGACTGGTGAGAACCATATAGTCCTCCAAATCTTATGGAAATTCAAAGCAAATCATTCTTGACCATTGACCATGCTGGGTAGGGATGATCAAATCCAATACTTTGTTTCTTTATCTTGACCCAAGGAGAAACAGCCAGAACCCAATCTTCTCAAGATGTCTTCCATTTAAATACTAGTTAAAGCAAGAATTACATTGCTTAGTTTCTGTTTCCAGGTAAGATTAGGTGTATTGAGGATTACACCAATATTTAACCTTTACAAATGAGTAGCGAAAAAATGAAACACCACAATGAATTTATTGGTCTTCTACTTCAGGGATAAAAGCATATATTTTAAAAAATCTGTCTAACTCTTCCATGGGGAGAAATGGTAGAACAGATTTCAGCAGGAGAGGATTACCACTGCTCTTCCATGCCTCTTTACCATTTATATAAATGTTACAATATATGTACGTATGTCTGTATACACACACCCACACACACATATATGTGTATATTTATCAACATTTCAACAAAAATCAAGATTTTTTTTTGAACGTTTTTTGTTTTCTTTAGTATTTATAATCTTTAAACAGTTGACTTACTTGCACATAGTGCAGGCAAAGCAGTTGGGATGATAGGTTTTTCCCAGAGCTGTTACAACTTCTCCTTCCACAAACTCCCCACAGCCATTGCATCGGGTCCCATACATCCGCTGGTAATCCACAGTACAAAGGTATTCTCCATTCTTAATGAAAAAGCCTCCTTGAGCCAAATCACACCCGCACACTGTGAAAATACAAAAACCAACCAAGAACAAATCAGTTTGAATATAGAAAAATACAGCCATTCATAAGACTTGATGGAACACAGTTTGTTCCCGTGTTAGTTTCTGGAAGCCTACATAGCGAGGTTGGAAAGAAGAAAAGAAGAAAATTAGAAGATGGCAAAGAGGTCAGGAAATTTTAAAAAACCATACAAATAAAGTAATAAACAGAGACGGTTGATGAACGAAGCAGGCAACAAGAAAGGCATCAAGATGGTTGTTGGAGACTAGTTGCTTTTATAAATAGAAAGCATTAAAAAAAGAGAAAATAATTAGAAGAAAAAATAGCATAAATAATGGACCAAAGGAACAGCGGTCTGTTTCTAAACCTGCAGCTGTGACTAAACTAACACAGAATAAACATCAGATTTGAAACCAGGTTTTCCTTCATAGTTCCCTCAATTATAAACGAAATCCTTATATAGCTGTTTAGTTTGGGAATTCACATGTTTCTTCCTTAAAGGAAACTCAAATATATTTATTCATTGTTCTGTTTAAACTGAATGTATAGATACAATGAATGTTTAGCTCATATAGAATGAAGTTCTATCAAAGGAACCATACACTTAATAAGGGCCAAAGATACATGATCTTGAAGAAGCCATCAGCATATATGATGGCACCAACTTCTAAATACTTATTTGCACATCAGCTTGAAGAAAAGTAAACCTAGCTCTGCTTTATATTCTCTTTTATTAGCTTTATCTTCAAATAGTTTATGGTACAAATAAACATAATTGCAGAAATAATTTAAAAATCCTACTGAAATTGCCATACATTTCCTCTCTCTCTTAATATTGCTTGCAGAACAAAATCAACAGAAAAAATCATCTCTCATGGCTTAAAATCTAATTTCAAGCACACCATGAAGTTGCCTTAGTTGAAATAAATTCATCTGGCTGACAGTTACTTACTATTGAAATGTAACATTTTTATACATTGTTAACTTATCTACTACATTTAGTTTGATAGGCAGCACAGTGTCATACTAGGCAGGTTAACACAAAACAGTAAGTTATAAAGTTGTTTATTTAAATTTGGTTTAATGTGCTATACACTGTGGTTTGTTCAACAAGCCACTGGTATAGAAATCCTGGTTCAGATATGGCCCAGATCACTGTGCATAGTGAATTTCTTGATTTTTAGCCTTTTTTATTTCTGCAGTGGAATGACTGCTTTATATTCTACTCACTCCAGCATATGAGTCACAAATGCAGCATCTCAAGGTTAAAAGATCACACATTTGCAAAAGCTTTTTTTTTAAAAAAAAAAGAAAGCCGATACATGATATAATCCTTTCTTTAGTTGTTTCTGGAAATGTTGCATGTGGAGCCAACAGTATTCCAGTAAACAAGTACATAAATAAAAAAGAAAATTAAGAAATAAATAAGATTATTTTAAGTAAATGAGGTTTACAAGCTTTACAAATGCTGCAAAGTAGGAGAAGACACACTTCTGACTTTTCCTCTGGAGCATGCCTAGCCTTTCCACCCAATATGCTACAGAAGAGAATAGCTTTCCAATGGGCAGAAATAAAAGGAACGTATGCTCCAAGTGGTCTACAAGACAATGGCATCTGGATTCACTGTGCAGAGACTCAGAGTCACTGGGAATCTTTCTCTGAGATCTCCAACTGCTAAACAAAGGATCTCTTCTCAGGATTGCTAGGCCAACTCTAAGAATGCTCTAAGAACAGCATTCACAATTCAGTTGCATAACTGCATAAAACATCACAAACTTGAAGCAATCTAGAGCATTCCATAGTTACTTATTACCATACATATAATAACACACACAGGGCATAGCCTATGCATTTATACATTTAAGTTCAAAAACACTTTGCTCTAGGAAGTGTAATGTTAACCTAGGTCAGCATTTGCTGCAAAATAATTTAGCGATTATAAATGATAAGAAATTCAGAGAGCCTCATGTTTCTCAAACTAGATTAATCATATGGGACTCTGATGTTATCACTTTGAAGTCTTTGCCACACCCAACAGATTTTCTTCTTGGACTCAATTAGCCAGAATATCAGCATAAAAACTTTGGCTTCACAAGTCTTAAGTACTGATCAATGTTAAATTACATTTTCTAAGTGGATGGAAATACAGATTACTTATGAGGTGCTTTCTTTTCATTGGCTCACTAATTGCTATGTCCCTACTGTGGCTAGAAAGGCTAGATGGAAGTAGTCCAAATTGTATACATCCTTGGGTTGGGAAATCCCCATTTAGCACAAGTGTGAGTTCCATGCTGTTAGCAGGGAATTCAGCGCTCCTGCTTTCTAAAATGTATGTTCCAGGAACTTTCTTAAGTAGCTTACTGTGTAAATGTGGATAGTAACTCCAAATTTATAGCAGACAGCCAACATACAGTACTACAGAGCTGAATGTACCTTCTTCCTACTCTTTTCCTTAAGCTTGAATGATACTTTAACACCATGTCCTGCATTCAGTTCAAATTAAGTTCAGCTTTAAAATAGAAAAGATTTCACTAGAGCACACTGGCAGCAGCATTTTCCCCTAAATGCTCGTTCCATTTCAGTGTTTTACAACTGGCTGGTGTTACTTTTCAAAATAATTAATATTTCACAAATGGCACATGATTTGGGAAGTACAGCACATTACCTTTGTTTTTAACATTTCTTAGAGTTGGGCAGTTCCTACAAGCAATTTGTTTTCTTTCCAAATGCAGAAAAATTTGGGGCTTTTTCTTTGGGAATAAAAATGTTGTGTTGTTGTTCATTAAATTCACAATAAGTACAATAACAATAACAACTACTAGTAGTTGCCATCCAGCAGATAATGAAGAAAACAGTCCATGAAAACCAAGGATGTTCTGAAGAATGCATCAACATGATCTTGATCATCCATCATTATTTAATATAAGTTTAATGTATGACTGAGAGCCCAGATCAATTAGGGAAGAATGACTTAAAATTATAGGTAGATCTTTGTTCTTCTGCTAATTAGGTACTGGAGATCACTGGAAATTAAAAGTTATTGAAATACAATCTTGGTTAGAAAGGTAATAATCTGTGAATTTTGTATTAAATGATGCTCTTAGTATATCCCATTTACAAAATACATGCTAACAATGCTATGTGCACTTCAACATTAGAGCTGAAAAATCCAACAAAATGGTAAAAAGTTGTGTATCAAATATGATTCTAGATCTTTAAAAGGAGTTTTAACTGAGAGTGAAATAAATGAAACAGCATGGCTGTACACTGACAATGTAAAGGTCTTTTGGTATACAGTATTAAAGCTATTTTCAACCTATCATTGTATTCAAGAGAAATTTCTTGAATGCAATGAACATAGTCATCTAGTTCTAATAAGTAAATATAGTAGTTTGAATCAAACCTTGGTATAACAAAAATCATTTGACAATTAGTAGCTCAAAGCCTAAATACAAACATTGTTCAGTGACAAATCATGTGTTTTAATTGTCTGTAAACAAAGATCCCAGATTCAATTAGTTCTGTGTCTCTAGGCAGACATGGGAACCACTCCTGTCTGATACTATGGAAAGTTGCTGTCAGCATGATGACCTGACTAAATACAAGGCAGTGTCCTATGAATTCAAGATATTATTTTGGATCACAATTCCTAAAGGTCATTTGGACTGCTCTGCATCTTTGCTGAGTTTACTATAATAGGAGAAATAGGTATCCATACTGAAATAAGAGATGTATAACACTTGCAATTTTGGAATGTATTTTCCTCAAATCTCCTGAGCAAGCAGCAGCAAGCTATAAATGTTACCTTTACATTATATCACTATGTTACATTATATTACCAATGGCAGCATTATCCCTATCTATTTCAGTTACAAGTCCACATAACAAATAACTTGAAAAAATGTTACTTAATTAAAAACTGCAGTAAAATTGAGAAAAAAAGATCCATTTCTAATTTCCAATTCTCCCATAGCACTATTATTTCTGAACCACTTAATATATCCATTCTTCAACGTATGGTCTCTCCTCAGTTTTATTAAAGTGATTTCTACTAATTACTATGGGCCTCTTATCTAAAAAAAACAGGCTCCTAAAGACGCTACAGGTAGTCCTTGAGTTATGACCATTCGTTCACCATTTGATGGTACTGAAAAAATGGACTTATGACTGGTCCCCGAAGTTTCAGCCATTGAAGTGCCCCCGCAGTCACAATCTGGGTGCTTGGTAACCTATTCGCACTTATGGTCAGTTGTCAAGCACCCCACAATCATGTGATTGCCATTTGCAACCTTCTCTGCCAGTTTCCCACAAAAAAGCCAATGGGGAAGCCAGCAGGAAAGGTCATGAGTTGCTTGGGTAAGTCTCCGCCACCCACCCCAGCCTTTCTCCATTCGTTCGCATGCACCGCACCCTCCTTCCCCCCTTCGCTCACATGCAGGAGGAGGAATGTGAGGCACTGATGACTGGCTCTATCAATGAGTCTAGCAACAACTGAAGGCAAAAGTCTTATATTCACAGCAGCTACACCAAATTTTAGGTTCCTGAATTTCTATTCAATACAATCAGTAAGTCACTTAGAGGATTACATTGCCATACAAAACAAGGTCAATCAATTCATGTTTCTTAAGCAAAATACTGCTGAGTAAAATACTACTGTTAATACAGATTTTGAATTCTGAACAATTTTAAGTTTTGGATATACACATAGAACAGTGACAGAGCAGTTTCTAGTGACTCCAATATATGTTTCTTGTCAGCATCCTGTTGGCTTTGAATATAAACAAGCAGCCGTAGATTCCTTAAAGCAACTGTTCCTCCCTGGAATCATGTGGGTGCCTTTTGCAGCTGGAGCACGATTTTGGAGAAAAATAACTTATATGGTTTGGAGTTGTAGACAGTATCATATATACACCTACACACGCTCTAAAGCACGTTTTTGTCTTTGAATCTGAAATGCTGCACAGCCATATTATTTGTATCTCTCCAAAAACAGTGCACGCT